AAAGATTCACATTCATTTTCATTTCCATTTCTCTTCCTTCACAACAAACAAATCCTAGCAATCCACTACATATTTTCCCCTTTCTTCCTAAACAGAGAACTACATATTTTCCCCTTTCTTTATAAACAGAGACCTACGTTGGAACCCAGATCCTCACGTCGATTTCAGGTATGTCGTTTTAGCTTAGGGTATGTTCTTGAGATTTTTTTTTCGTTATTTTGTTGCGATATAACTACCCTATGTCGTTATTCGTTCCATTTCGTTATTCAATTTGGTGGGGGTATAATTTGTGTTAGCCATTATGATTCTTTGTTCATTGTGTCTGAAAAATAAAAAAATTATTGAATTCCTATTTATATATTGTTTCGTGATATTTAGATTTTGTTATTTCTGCTTTTTTTAATTCTAATAGCCCCCCGCTTTATAATAGCAATTAATTCATTGTGTCATTTCATTTACAAACTGGATCCTACCTCACAAACTGGTCTGACTATTTCCCATTTTATCCGTTTGAGAGATAAATATTTTGACAGAAAGCTAAAGGGTAATATAGATTTTTCCCTTATAGCCACCTTGTTGACTCTTTTATTCCACTTTAATGGGTAGCTTCACAAGCACTTTCTCCCTCTACATGAAACTAAAGATTCACATTCATACAACAAACAAATCCTAGTAGTCCAATTCGTATTTTCCCCTTTCTTCCTAAACAGAGAACTACATATTTTCCCCTTTCTTCATAAACAGAGACCTGCGCTGGAACCCAGATCCCCGCTGCGCCTCCGTCCTCGTGCACAGAGAGACGGTGCCTAGGCAATTTCCATCCAATGCGGATGAATTCTAGAAATGAGTGAGAACTCTTTTCTACTAGCATCGGCTCTCTGTTTTTTCCCCTCATATCGGACATTTGAAAAGATTTTGGATATCCATGAATTTCTCTTCCTTCACATAGTTTCTTAATATCTTCTATTAATATGCTTATCGAATCTTCCTGCTTCATATATGTTTTTACCTTGCTATACATAAACCTGCACGAGAAATATTATGATTGTAGGCAAAGGAAAACACTTATGCTATTAAGTTTACCTCGGTGAAAAATGAGTTACTACGTTTTATATACAGTAAGCTATATCTTTGAAACTGTACTATGAAATTTAGTTCATAATTAATATGTTTTAATACTAAGAAAAAAACGAGGCAAACAGATATAAATCTTTGGTATTCATGTTGTTGTTGATTATTTTATTACAGCATTCACTTTACCTTCATCTATCCAATTTTATACTTCTATACCAAAATACATTTATATACCTTGTTATTAACTGTCAAATTAAAATTTTTTGTACTACACTCGTTGTAGTATCATACACCCTATTTAATACCGAAATAAACTCAAAGACGTGCATTTCACGTGCCTCCACTAGTATTTATGAAAAGTACATGTATCTTTTTCTTCTTTTGGGAAGGATTCACAACACAACCTTTGGTCAATTAAAATATAAAGTTCAATATGTTTATAGTGTATTTCATGTGCTCGTGCCATATTGGTTGTGACACATCAAGATATGCACTTCATTGCCTCCTCATAAATGTCATCAACGTCTTCTTCAGAGCAATGACGTAGTAAATTAAAATGTGCATGTATGTCTTAGGTGTTTGATAAAAATTAAATATACCAACGTGGTGATCGCGGATTAAAATCACATGGCCTTATCTCCTTGATTGTCACATCACCAAGTCTATTATACCAATCATTCTTCAAGATTGCCTACAAATCTTGTAAGAAATAGTTTCAGCTTCAAGGATTTCGGATGAACTGAGGGCTTCGGTCGAACGGAGTTTCGTATTGGTGGTCTTCTGTGTGAAAAGCTTTGGTTTCTTCTTTGATTTCTTACGTAGCGCTTCGGTTTGAGAGCTTCAACCATTTAGGCAATGCTTCGACATATGAGCTTCAGCCTGTGTTTCACGTCTTGCATTTGACCAATTGGGTCATTGTTGACTTTCCATTCCACATGGACTGTGACGTGACACTTTAATTGGAGTCTCAGTGGCGAGGCGTAACAGTTACAATTAGTATTAGAGCATCGATGTGGCCTTGATATGATGATGGATGGGACAAAAGTGCAAACATCCACCAGTTTGGAGGACGACACTCAGGAGTTGATAGAAGCTTTAAATCGACGTAAGTGATTCTACTCTATTTGAGTTGACATTGACTATAACAACCATAAAATTTAATGTCGACATAACTCTCGAATCAAATCGGATCGAATTGAGCAATTCGATTCAGCTCTTCTTAAGTTAAATACTCGAGTGTGTATCAAAATTGAGAATCGACGAATTTGGTTAGATTCTTGATTCTAGACCAAGAATCGGACAAGAAACAATCTCCCTGATTTTTTTATATTAAATAATTCAAATTATTTTAATTTTTTTAAATAAATTTGTCAACTAATTAATTGAGATCAAAAGTATCATTTTCCCATTTCATTTGCCAACTAATTGATTGAGTCCAAAACATCATTTTTTTTTTCTCTTTTTACCCCAAAACCAACTTTGAAATTCAATTTTCAAAGAATCAAAATTGAGCTACCTAGGGTTTTCTCAATCATTTTTTCGAACTACTTTATTTTGCAAGAGTTAAGATTGAAAATGCCATTAGTTGGATTAATGTAGTGTTATAAATGTTAAAAAACTTAATTATGGTATGAAATCGAATAAAACCGAATCGAATTAAATTTGGACCCGACGGTTCCGCTTACTAAATACCCAAAAACTCAATTTTGAGCAATTATTTCTTATGGTAACTAGGAAGGAAGAAGATAATCTTAGTGTTGACTCTTTCCATGAAAAATTGACGATGCAATAGAGCGATGACATGCTCAAGAAAATTAGTTAGGCTCAGGCGACATAGACAACAGAGAATAAATGTTAGAATCCATCTTTGCAGCCGAAAAAAAAACATCATTTTGAGGATGAGGATTAATTCTTGAGGATGATGATAAAGGAAGGTTGTTAAGTTGCTTAGATATTTCGTTTTTATTGTCTAAATCTTTTGTTTGGAAATCCAAGAGGAGTTGTGGCTGGTTTTGCTGAGGATTTTTGCCATGTTTGGTTCTTGATCTATTGTCGTTTTTGAATTTGAATTTGCCCCCAGGCTGCAAGTTCGCATCCCTTTATATGCTACTTTCCAAGATTGTTGGATCCTGATCGAACTCTGAACTTGCTTTATAGTCGAAAACCCATGGGAGTGTTCTGTCAATAATAGAAAAAGGGGAGTTGAATGCTACACAACGTGTTCTATATGCACGCAAGTTGAATGCTACAAAATTTAGGTTACAACATATTTTAAAACGTGACAATTATTGAATCTTAAACTCGGGTAGCTGTTTATTATTCTATATATATTGGAGGTAAGGGTATAAATTGGACCAAATCATCATGTCTTTTCATCCCATTTTATGCTTGGCAACTCCTCGAAAAAAGAAAAGAAAAAAAAAATAAAAATAAATCGAGCTTGGTATGATCTACATGAAGCAAGTCGAGTCAGGCTTAATGCATAAAATTTTGTGGCGTGGTGTTGGGAGGAGTTTAATCAGTTAGCTCATAAAAAACAACAAAATAAATGTGCCAATCAACAGAAACCGAACTGAAAATAATATCTACAGAAACTGAAATCACAAGAACTATAAACTGTAAAGCTGAACACAAAAATAAACTACAAGAAAAATGAACTTATCTTTTATTATAACCCACAGGCCACAAGTTCATTCAATAGGTCGTTCAATCTCGAATAATAACCACTGTTATTGGACAAATCAGACCCCAATGTAGATTACAAAGGAGACACTCATACTAGACTTATTATTACACAAAATAGGAACTCTCTCAACTGATAACGCACGATTCACACAAGAATCAACCCTCAATCAATGTAATCACACAACATCTACAAACTATTGAAGGGAAACCGGAAATCAAATAGGCAGATTTGATTTCTACAGAGAAGAGAAGAGGACTCTCAAAGAACGGCGCAGAGAACAAGAATGGAAGAGTCGAGAAGCCAAAGTGAAGTCTCAAACCTTAGACAATCGCTTTTATATGAGTCACCTAAAGGTCACCAATCCAACAGTGTTGGAGGCGACACTTGGCGACATCAAAAGCGTCCATAATCAGGGCAAGTGAAAACATGGTTTCAAGTAAATATCAAACATGTTTCTTGCACCAAAACAAAACAGATCAGTAGCTGGGCTTCAATTAAATTCCAGCTGGGCCAACTCATTTTTTGCCCATTAGCCATTGCATCATTGTGCCAACAAATTCCTTTCATACTCCACCTTGGTACAATGATTCAAGCATCATTGGTTACTCAAAACACAGATATCATCAGCATAGAACTGCAGTAAACACAGATTAGCAGCAAGGTGCAACATTCAGCAAGGTCAATCAGTCCAGAAATTTGTTTAATGGTAGAACTTTTGTACCTACATCAGCAGGGTTATAATTAGTAGATACCTTTTCAAGTTTCACAACACCTTGTGAAATAATATCTCTAATAAAATGAAATCTAACATCAACATGCTTAGATGTATTTGCAAAACAGGATTTCTACTTAAATGAATTGCAGATTGGTTATCATAATAAAGAATAACTTCATTAATAAAATCAAATTCATTAAATAATCATTTTAACCAAATTCCTTCTTGGATGGCATCGGTGGCTGTAATGTATTCAATCTCAGTTGAAGACAAAGCCACAATCTTTTGAAGTTGGGATTTCCAGCTTGTGCAAGAATTGCACAAAGTATACATGTATGAAGAAGTAGATTTTCTATTAATCCTATCACCTGCATAATCAGAATCAGTAAATCCTTTCAAAATAACACTTTCAGCTTGTTTTCTAAACTGAATCCCTAAGTTTGAGGTCCCCTTAATGTACCTAAGAAGCCACTTCATGGCGTCCCAATGTGTCTCACCTGGATTTGCCATATATCTACTCAAAACACTTATAGAATATGCCAAATCAGGTTTAGAGCACACCATGAGATACATAACAGACCCAACTGCATTATGATAAGGCACTTGTGCCATCCTTTCAAACTCTTCTTTAGTTTTAGGACATAAATCATTTGATAGTTTAAAATGATTAGCCAAAGGGACACTAACACTTTTGGATTCAGCCATAGAAAACTTGCTAAATAATTTCAAAATATAGGATTTTTAACTAAGATTTAGTGTGCCTTCTCTTCTATCTCTCTTAACTTCCATACCTAAAATCTTTCTCACAGGACCTAAGTCTTTCATTTCAAATTCAGATTTTAGTTTGTTTTTAATTAGCTCAATCTCTTTTATTTATTTCAGACTTGCTAATATCATGTCATCCACATAAAAGAGTAGGTAAAGTGAATTAACTCCACCTTGACCCTTACAATAAAGACAAGTATCAAAGTTATTTCTCTTAAACCCAAGTCCAAGTATAAAATTGTCAAATTTTTTATACCATTGTCTTGGAGCTTGTTTTAAGCTACATAGAAATTTTTTAAGAAGGCATACTAAGTCAGATTTATTAGTCACTTCAAATCTTCTAGGTTGTTTCATGTAAATGGTTTCTTTTAAGTCTTCATTTAGAAAAGCAGTTTTTATATCTAATTGGTCTAATTCCCAATTAAATTGAGTGGCCAAGGCAAGAATGACTCTAACTGTAGTAAATTTTACTACAGGTGAGAATATTTCATTGAAATCAACTCCTTTTTTTTTAAGTAAAACCTTTTGCTACTAAACGGGCTTCATATTTTATGTCATTCTCACTTTATTCACCCTTTTTTATTTTAAAAATCTATTTACAATCCACAACCCTCTTACCCTCCGGTCTTTTTACCAAGGTCCGTGTCTTATTTTTGTGAAGAGACTCCATCTCATCTTGCATGGCTGGCTGCAAGCCATTACTTGGAATCTTTGCTACCCAAAACTTCTTCATAGGAATCAAGTTCATCCTCAATCATATCATGATAGGACAGCGAGGAAACATCATCCTCAAATCTAGTTGGAGGTCTAATGGTCCTTCCTTCCTTATCCCTAACTAGTTGGTAATCAACAAAGCGCTGTACATGCTCTATATCAGCCTCAGGATCCTCACAGGTTCAGTTTCAACTTCAGGTTGGTCATTATTTATAGGGGCAGAATGGTCAGAACCCTCCCCAGATTGCTCCACCTCAAACTCAACACTTTTTCTTACATTTTCAGATTGTTCAGGGGTCTCAAACAGGTATGCAGGTTGCTGTTCAGACTTAAAACATGGCAGGTCATCCTCATTAAATATCACATTTCTATTTACAATGACCTTTTAGCCCTTCAGCTCTCTAACCCAAAGTCCATAGCCTTTAACCCCTTCCCCATAGCCCAAAAAAACACATTTGAGGGCTCTAGGTTCCAGTTTACCTTTAATTTGGTGTGTAAAGGTTGCACATCCAAAAATTCTCAAATCGCAAAAATCAACTGGTTTTCCTCTCCATTTTTCAGCAGGGATCTTAAAGTCTATAGCACTAGCAGGGCATCTATTTATCAGATAACTAGCAGTCTTAACTGTTTCACCCCAAAAATTTTTAGGCAGACCATAACACAACAACATGCATCTAACTTTATCAAGAATAGTTATATTCATTCTTTCAGCCAAACTATTTTGTTGTGGTATGTGTGTGTGACTGTTCTATGCCTTAACATACCAGATGATTTACACATTTTATCAAACTCATAATTACCAAATTCCAAACCATTATCAGGTCTTAGAACATTAATTTTCTTATCAGTTTGGTTCTCAATTAAAAATTTTCATTCTTTAAAAATATTAAAAGAGTCAGATTTTGATTTTAACATAAAAGTCCAATTATTTCTTGAAAAATCATCAATGACAAGCAAATAATATTTAAAATCAGAAGGAGTACACACAGTTGCTGGTCCCCGCAGATCAGCATGCAAATATTCAAGTATGAAGACAGATTTATGTATTCCAGGTAAAAATGGAAGCCTATTATGCTTTCCTAAAATGCAATAGTCACAGAAACTCAATTTTCCAAGGTTATCATTGCCAAAAACACCTTATTTTTTCAAAATCTGAAGACCTTTATCACTAATATAGCCCAATCTCTTGTGCCATATTTGTGATTTATCATTTGGGGATGAGATTACTGCTGAAGCAGACTCCAAAAAATTTTTAATTTACAAAATATAAAGACCATGTCTCTTAGGGACTTCTACAATCAGTTGAGAGTCCCTCAAAATTTTAATGTAGGCCTTATTGATAACAATGTCAAAGTTAAGGTCATCTAAAACCTCTAAGAAAATCAGATTATGTTGCAAGTCAGGAACATATCTAGTCTTCTCAAGAATCAACGTATTATTCCCTTTTAAGGTCAAAGTGATAGTCCGCACACCTTTTACTTGACATGTCATGTGATTACCCATTAACACTTTTCTGCCAGTCACATTTTCAAAATCAGAAAACAATTCCTTATTAGGACACATATGATAAGTGCAAGAATCCACTCTTGGCAAGGTGGACAGCTTACACCAACATAAATTTCATCAATATTAGACCATTGTAAGCCAAAGCAGCTCCATCATCATTTTTAGACTTGTTTTTAAAGTCATAAAGTCTTTTAGGACAGTTTTTAATAAAATGACCATCTTCTAAACAATAAAAATATTTTTTTCCCTTTAGTCATCATTTTATTTTTGTCCTTAAAGTTGCCATTTTTCTTATGTCCAGGTTTCTTATTGAAATTTTCATTTTTGGGATTAAACTTGGATTTCATCATCAGATTAATGCCACTAACATATTCTTTTTTGTCAGATTTTAATTCTAACTCTTTAGACCTTAAAGCATTAATAATTACTTCAGTAGATAGAGTGTCCCTCCCATATTCAATTGCATTTTTAACATCTTTATATTTATCATCAATTGAATTCAATAAGACCACAACCAATTGCCCACTTGAGAGTTTCTCGTCACAGTTGGCTAGGTCACGGGTCAATCTATTGAATCTATCAATATTAGACTCTAGGTCAAGAGAAGGATCAAGTTTAAAACCAAAAAACGGTTTTAGAAGATAAACTTTATTTGGCATAACTTTATTCAAATAAGTTTTTTTCAATTTTTTCCACAATTCAGCAGTAGTCTTAGTCTCACCAATTTCTCTGATCACATTGTCAGACAAATACAAGAAAACAGTACTACATACAGTTTCATCTTGTTCAGTCACTTTACTAGATTCAAGATCACTAGGCCATGACTCATCAATGACTTTAGCACATTTTTGTTGAAGTAAAAGGGCTCTTATTTTCTGACGTCAGAGACTGAAGTCTCCTTTGTCATTAAAAACTTCCATTTCAAATTTTGAAGTCATCTTTAAAAAAAATATTTAATGAAATGAAAAGAATGCAGGTCAGTCAGACACTAACCAGAAATCATGCAAATGCAGATCATATTAGTATCACCACACAAGGGACACAGAATAGTATATAGATTTCAAGTACAGAGAGCATATACATTCAGAATTGTATCACAGAATTCAATCAAGGTTGAACAAATGCGCAGAGTGATTTTCAGTAAGCAAAAATATCAAGAATCTCGACTTCTATCAAAGTAACCTTCAGATTCCAGACAACTCAAGGTTTCTGGACAAAGGAATTACGAGGAGTCTTCGATTCAGGTTTTCAAAAAATGTAAAAAACTGAATACACTTCACTATGCAGAATACTCAATCAATACAGTGATCTCAATTCATCAGAAAATCAGCCAAGCAGTATATCTAATAGGGTAATATAATCAATTAGGCAGTATAATCACACAATATACAGCTAAACAAAAAACGCGATAACCGAATAAATGAAGAGATCTCACCAATCCCCTTTAATTAGGGTTTCAAGAAAATCGCAAAGCAGCTCAAGTTTGCAGTCAGTGTCAAGATCGAGCCCAACAAGCATCAAGAACTCCCTCCAGATCGCTCTGATACCACTGTTGGGAGGAGTTCAATCAATTAGCTCACAAAAAACAACAAAATAAATGTGCCAATCAACAGAAACCGAACTGAAAATAATATCTACAGAAACTGAAATCACAAGACTATAAACTGTAAAGCTGAACACAAAAATTAACTACACGAAAAATGAACTTATCTTTTATTATAACCCACAGGCCACAAGTTCATTCAATAGGTCGTTCAATCTCGAATAATAACCACTGTTATTGCACGAATCAGACCCCAGGTAGATTACAAAGGAGACACTCGGACTAGGCTTATTATTACACAAAATAGGAACTCTTTCAACTGTGAACTCTTTCAACTGATAACACATGAAGAATCAACCCTCAATCAATGTAATCACACAAGATCTACAAGCTATTGAAGGGAAATCGGAAATCAAATGAGCAGATTTGATTTCTACAGAGAAGAGAGGAGGACTCTTGAAGAACGGTGCAGAGAGCAAGAATGGAAGAGTCGAGAAGCCAAAGTGAAGTGTCAAACCCTAAACAATCGCTTTTATATGAGTGATCTAAAGGTCACCAATCCAACGGTGTTGGAGGTGACACTTGGCGACATCAAGAGCGTCCATAATCAGGGCAAGTGAAAACAGGGTTTCAAGTAAATATCAAACACGTTTCTTGCACCAAAACAAAACAGATCAGTAGCTGGGCTTCAATTAAATTCCAGCTCGGCCAACTCATTTTTGGTCCATGAGCTATTGCATCGTTGTGCCAACAAATTCCTTTCATGTGCCATGGCAAAAAAGAATAGCACATTGCAAGTCCACGTGGCCCATTGATTTAAAGGAAAAATCCAATGCCCCCAACCTCCAAGCCCTTGCCACCAAATTTTTGGAAATCATTATGTCCAATCATTTTTTACAATATTGATGAACGACTCACACTTGACAATATCATATTCATCTATTTTAAAAATTACTTTATAAATCTCCTAATTTTGACAATATCACTATTGTCAACTACAATTGTCAATAACTATTGTACAAATATGTTAATTTAAGTTTTGGATATATGGCACGACCAAAATGGACTATTGGTGTTGATCGGACATGGCAGTATAAATAGTGAATGTAGCCTCTCTTTTTTTTTTTTATGATATTCTCATCATTATTGTGACCTAATTCATGAATTTAAGAGCAACATTGTGGCAAAAAACCATTACAACAAGTGTGGTACTAGGCTAGGATATGCATTTATCTACAGTCCCTTGAATTATATGCAGTATGAATAGTAACTAAGGCTAGCAGTTAATAATTATTTGGTTCTAATTCTTAAAATCAAGAATAAAACAGTTCTATTTTACTTATAGCTACAGAGCTGATTTTAATTTGATTCCCCAATTATTTATCTCGTCTTTCAATTAAACCAACCATTACATTAAATAAGATTAATTGAAAATAATCAACTTTTTGGGTTCGGTTTGGCATGGAAACGTTTAATTCCATTCGAGAAATTTTAATTAGTACAGACTGTGATTCGCAAAACCATAAATAACATATAGCTTCTTTTCTTGTTCAATACTATCTTCAACTATACAATTAGACGTGCTATAAAGTGTAAAATACACATGGTAGATTTCAATTTCCTCGAATGTTGATACCATTAATAAGCCCCTGTTTGACACCATTCTCTTTAATTTTTTTTCTCTTTTTACATTTCAACCACACATTTTTTTTTATATATATTCCCTTGTTTGGCACCAATTCCCATTCTCATTCTCATTTTTTTTTACTCTTTTTACATTTCAACCACACATTCTCCAAATAAAATAACACACCAATTTAAAAAATTTTCTCCCATCATTCACTATTTTAAAATTTCTATTCTCATTAAAATGGGTGTCAAACACTCACTAAATTTTATTTATACTTTCTAATTATTATAACAAGATAATGTATATTTATACTTTCTAATTATTATAACAAGATAATGTATAATGTTGCATGACATGTTCCATTGACTAGGGTAATCCAAGAATAATGGATATCAGTACTATCACCATGTCTTACCAACCTTTTTTTGTGCAATATAAATCAAAAGGCAGATTAGGGATAAGGTTTTATAGATGTTCTTGCTTGAACAATGAAAAAACAAATTATAATCTCTTCAGGGAAACAATTATCATAATTTCTTACGATGTACTGAACTCTTGTAAAATCATAATAGCCTATATCAATTAGACGATTGACAAATTTTATCGTA